CTCTCTCTCTATTTTCCTCGGCATTGTCTTGCGGTTTTGTGTGCGGCGCCAGGCTTTCACGAGCCAGTGCAACATATCTTCGTCACTTAGTCGTTTGAGCCGGTTAATGAGATGACATGGCGCTAACGTGCCGGTCATCTCATTTAGTGTAAGTTTTGCGTATTATTAGTGATAAGTGGTTTTGCATTCTCGTCGGCACTCAGGGAAGTGCAAGTGCAATAAAAGGTCAATTAACGAAGTTGAGTGTGTGAAATCATTGAGTGTACCTTCTCCTTCCTGCTTTGCTAGGAGCGACACACCGCCTCCCTTGCCCTCCCCTTAAATAATTGGTGATAGAGGATATTTTAGGCCAACTCTATTACATAGTCAAGACGAGCATGCTATGGAAGTTGATTTCTGTGATTTTAATTTTGACGCGACATCTAATAATAATCGTTATAACGAGTCGCATTCTCGTTATTCTCTCTCTCCCTGCGGCCAGTTTGTTTATTAATCATATTTATACTTTACCATGCATTATAATAATTTGTAATTTGTAGCGCAGTTGAAATGTCAGCGAACAAGGTAAGAGTCGAGTCCTACGATCTATACTATCGATAGTCCCTAGCGCGGATGTCGCGGAGAGACCGCGATCGCGAAGGAGAGAGAGAAGGAGAGCGCGTAATGAGTTAGTTGGCATGCGAGCAGAGACAAGTACGGACGCTAGCATAGTTTGACAGTAACACCCTTTTCTTTTGCGTTACGAGAGATCTCGAGGGAGTAAGCGAGTACGCAGTGGTGATTATACGAGTCCAAAGATCGCCAGCGATAAGCGAAGGCGCATAGCTGATGTTGACAGGGATTCCGTTAGCTATAAGGCTAGGAAGCGAGAACACCCGCGCGAGTGTAGGACAGGAGTAAGCGTGGTCGCGATCTACTGTTCGTGCGTTGCTGCCGTTCTAATAACCGACGACAACTACTGTAAGTACCTACTCGATTCTCTCTCTCTCTCTTAGGCTCTCTCTCTCTCCTATTGCTTGCTAACTGCATTTGTCGCTTTAGTTTATCGCCCGGCTTACGCACTCTGTCATTCTGCTCGGCATTGCGTCCTGCCTCGAGCCGCTTTAAGCGAATTCGTTGTCCGATCTTGTTCGGTTGCTGACAAGATCGGCGCGCTGCGTTGCGTCGTCGCCTTGTTCGCTGCCGCTCACATTTCGCCACCACGCGCGCTTGTATGTATTCGTAAGTGCCTAAAATACAAGATTAGTTTCTACCAAAATCCGCAGCAACTTATTCCGATACACCTGCCCTGTTACATAACTACTTCGCCGCGAGACTCTTTAGGTTGTCCCTCACCAAGTAACCTGTGGCTCACGACACTCTCCGCGGGCCGAATTCCTACGTAAGGAAGGAGGCAAGCTGATGCGGCTGGACCCAAGCACTGTTCGCACTGGCGCACAGGGTTGCCTTGGATAGCGCACTTCGCTTTGTTAAAATATTAATCCGCGAGAACTATTTATTATATAACTGATTTAGCCCGGAAAGAGCACGAGCTAAAACCCCGTTATATCGTGTTATAATAGAACACCAATTAGAAAATTGTGAAATAGAAAATAATGAAGATGAGTCTAGTGAGGACGAATTTTGTGGTACTTCAAATGAAAAACAATATGCAAAAAGCTGTTTATCGCGTGAAAATCTTCAGAAAGATGTCGAATTCCAATTAAATCAATGTGAACTAAAAAAAGATGTGTTTGAATCCGTTAATTTTTTACTAAATAAACTACAGATAGGTACAGTAAATTTAAATGATATACAAAATCCACCAATTATAAATAATAAAATTAATTTCTTGTCGTCAAAATTAAAAAGCATATTAATAAAAGATTATGAGCAAGGTGAAACTGAAAAGCCGAGTGATTTCGAGACACAACTGATCGAAGATATTAAACAAAAATTTTCTAAAGCTTCGAGTTACGCAGAAAACTTAAGTATTTTAACGCTTCTCCCAGAATCTTGGAGTGCTCGTAAAGTAGAAAAAATCATAGGCTGTTCATTTCACGGTGCTCAAGAATCAAAGAAGTTAAGAGAAAAAGAAGGCATGTTAGCTAAACCTTTACCGCGTAATAGAATGCGTATTTTAACCGATGTTGTTATTCGAAGAATTTAAAACTTTTATCGGGAAATTGATATAAGTAGTCCTCGATCTGCTGCAAAAGATTATAAAACTATTAAAACAGATATTGGAAAAGTTAAAATTCAAAAACGGTTAATGCTTTTTAATTTAAAAGAAGCTTATGTTTTATTAAAAAGTGATATAATGAAAATTATAATGAAGATATTAAAATTGGATTTTCGACTTTTTGTCAGTACCGACCGGAAGAGTGTGTATTAGCTAATGATTCAAAAGGAATTCATAACGTTTGCGTTTGTATCTATCATCAAAATATAAAATTACTACTAAATGCCCTACATTCTTTAATTATCAAATTAAAATCAAAAGAAATTATTCCAACTAATTATAAAGAAATATTCAACATTATTTTATGTGAAAACCCTACCGAAGCGTGTCGTTACGATGAGTGTTTTGATTGTCCAGGTTTTAATAAAGTCGCGAATCAGTTCTACATCTTTTTTAATCAAAATTTTATTAAAAATATCGAGTGTAAGAAATGGGCTACCATTGATAAAAAATATCAATTAATTACCGTTACGCTGATAATAGACGAATATATTGAAATATTAAGAAAAAAATGTAATCAGGATTTCAGAATTCACGATTATGTTGCTAAAAGTCAAAATGTGTTTGGTGAAATGACCTCTGAGGGCGAGTTATCGAATGTGACTCGGAGTAATAGTAGTAGGGGCAGCTCATCGTTCTTCTCCTGCTGCGCGCGCGTCCCCTCTCTACTGGCTCTCTTTTCTTCGCCATTCAGCTTTCTCGACTGATCCTGATCGCACGCTGCCATTGTTCACTCCAATAGTTTTCGTACCAACAACTGTAGACTTCAATTAAATAAATTAGTAGATTCCAGCTAACCCCTGAGCATCATTTTCTTGCCTTCTCATACCATTTGGTCCTTCGAGCCGGATCCGCTGACGGAAAGAAAACGAATCAAAGGACTGAGCCAGCCGTGGAAGCTAGCGTGGCTCTGGTAGTCATTGCCGGCCGACGGCCGCTGACTTAGACGAGCCACCGCAGTGAAAGATTGCTGTGCATGGGCACAAGGACTGCCACGCGCACAAAATGGCGGCCGTGGCGGTGGTTGACCGCTGACGCGAAAGCGCTTTTGCTCGAACGGTGGGCGTCGCGACAGGTGGCTGTCAACGACGAAGTTTTTTTTTTTTTTTGTATAAAAACGTTTATTTGCTTAAATCAAGACATTTACATATGTATACAGGTGCAAATTAACTTACAAAATAAAACCTAGAAATTAGCGAAACGTGATAGAATATGTGGCTCAGTGAACATCTCGTATTCTCACAATATTTTTAAGTAGGATGTATAGAAAAAACAACTAGAGATAGTTGATGCGGTTGACAAATTCGTCACAATGCTGAAAATAACTGTCCGTTTTGTTGGTTGCAGGAAAAAGAGTGGTGTAAAAACCTGTGCGTCGTTATCGTTTGATGTGCTTACAGACTAAGGAAAAACTTAAGATTAAACTAAAACTATACATGTATTATACAAGTAAGAATGTCATAGACATTAGAGAACGGAGAGTGATAGCCAACGGTCATGTTGGAAAATTATCTTTGTAGTGGGGATCAGCATCTATGCCATATATCACGAGTTCGTGATTTAATATTGATATTATTTCCTTTTAGAACGGCGTCGCAGTTCGTCTAAGTATTTGGCATTATTCGCGAGCCACCAATATTTTTTAACATGAAGCCTGTGATAATTTTTATAGTCTATTTCGGAGATAGACATCGAGTGTTTGATATTATTAGTGTTATTAGGATTAAAGTTTATGTTTTTATTGGCGGCACTTCGTTTCTTGTGATATATTATAGGAACATTGTTCTCATTTTGGATAAATCCTGATTTGTCAAAGTACATAAATAGATGTGGTGGAAAATAGCCAGTATGTGCAGTGGCTTTACAGTCAATTTCGTCGAGAGAAGTGAGCTTAGCAATATGGGAGTTTTTAATTGATTTAAGATTTGCAAAGTAATCTCTAGTCAGTCTTATGATAAAATTATCAATTCTGGGGACGTTTGCATTATCATATAAAGTTTTATTACTAATAAATTCTTTACTACCTGCTTTACGGTATAAGTGAAGCGAGGCTCTAAGGCAGCATCGTTCGAATTTACGGAGTTTTTCCATTATGCAGGCACTAATATTCCACCATATCGGACAGGCATAGGTTAGAATTGGCTTTATTAGCAGGAGATAACAGATGACCTTAGTGCGGTATGATAGGGCTTTGTTAAAAAATAATCGATTATATGCGTTAAACGAAATTTTAGCTTTAGAAAGTTGGGTATCGATATGAGCGTTCATACGAAGTAAATAGTCAAGGTGTACGCTTAGATATTTGCCAGTATATTTACGCTCAATTGGGTGATCACCGGTACTATCGCGCAGGTAGATTTGGAAAGCTTTAATCGCGTTTCTTTTCTTCTGGGAGATGAATCTAAGTGGTTTGTGGAAGAGTATAGTCTCGCATTTCAGATAATTTGCTTTTAGGTTAAGGGCTTTATATTGGAGGATGGTTTTATTGAAAAGTAGGTCTAGAGTTTTAGTAACCGTATTAGGATCTTCGCCTGCTGCAAGAATGATATAGTCGTCAGCAAATGCTGCGGAGTAGGTGCTATTGTGCGTGTTCAGACCGAAAAGATTAGGGATGTGATGAGTGAAGATATTGAAAAGCTCTGGAGAGTTCACAGTGCCTTGGAGTAGTCCTTCAAGCAGAATGAATAGGAGAGACGAGATTTCTTGTCCATTGTATGTGGCAAAACTGCGGTCACGCGTCATGTGCCATACTAGCTGGATGAAGTCTAACGGGTATTTGTTAGTATGAAGAATGTATAGGAAACCACACCGAGTCGAACGCTTTTTCTAGGTCAACTAAACAGGCGCTGACGACATCACCTTTGTGTAGATGGGAGTTTGTGTCTGTTGTTATTTTATGGATCGCGTGAGTAGTGGAATGCTGTGTTCGAAAGCCAAATTGGTTATCGGGTATAATGTTGTTGGAGTATGTGTGTTTTCGAAGGGTGAAGCTTATCACAGCTTCATAAACCTTACTGACGGCAGGTGTTAGACTGATGGGACGATAGCTGGATACTTTGGAGGCTGGTTTACCTTTCTTTAGGATTGGGAGAATCTTTGCACGTTTCCAAGGATCAGGGAAAAATCTATTATTCAAGCAGTTGTTGAAGATAGTGGTGTATTCTCGGATGATACAAGGTGGCAAGTGTTTAAGAACTATGGGAGGGATATTGTCCAGGCCAGAAGAGGTTTTATTAGGGAGTGATCTAAAGATCCGTGTAGAAAGATCAACCGAAGTAAAAAAGATGCTGTTATCAATAGGTCTGGGACCAGTTGCTGGATTGTTATCGGAGAATTCAGTGATATGTGAGCCAGAAGAATGGTTGTTTTCAAAGGTTTTGACAAGTTCATTGACCACTTTCTCAACTTCATCCTTGAATGGGAGGTCGGCATTTATGATTCGGGGTGAGTTGACTTGTTCATAGTAAGCACCTATGACATTGAGGATATCGGATGGAGACTCAACTAGGAGATTTTTATTAACTTTTGGAAGGGTATTTATATTGCAACCAGCGCGAGCCAAGAGATGAAGTTCTGTATTGTCTATTTCGAAAAAGTCAATTTTCATCTCACCTTTTGGGCGAAAAAATCTATTGATTTTAGGAAAGAACGATTCTACATTACGGTGATCAATTGCGCGTATCTGGGAATCCCAGTATTTCTCGTAAGAAGACTTGAATTCTGCTTTAAGTTTGACATTCACAATATTGATGAGGTTATTTAATGTACTGATAACATAGGGATTAGGGTTTTGGCGGCGGGTACGGTTTAGAGGTGAGATGAGGAAAGATTTTTTTTTATGTAGTTTTTTAATCCTTAGATTAATGTAGTTGAGTACATTATCATCTGGTTTAAATTTTGGAACGTATTTTTCAATGGAAGAGGCAATAAAAGAGTTAAGTTTGTTTATGTGGTCTAAAATTTCTGTATTGGTGAGATTGCGGTCGGTAGGAATGAATGGAGCAAATTCGTTATTGGTTTTTTTTGTGAAGAGGTTCCATTTAGTTTTCTTGTACATGTGGCGATATGAGACGGCAGGATCAATAGAGTGAACAGTGGAAGGGAGATCTATGGAGAATACTAGTGCCATATGGTCACTTGTATAATCAAGAGTGGGAATTTTATTATTTATTAAATCTGTAAAGGATAGTCGATTATCTGATAGACAAAGATCAAGAACGGTGTTTGCGTTGTTGAAAGTAGGTGTATTGGGGGGGATAATCTTAACTTTGTAGGAAATGCCATTACCGAGTTCCCAACTCCTAAGAAGAGTCCCTTTCTTATTGTCACCGAGGTCTCCCCAAGCCCGATTTCTAGCGTTAAGGTCACCTGCTAATAAATAAAAATTATTTGTTGCTGCTAAATCGAGATTAATAAATAGTGCATCAAGTTCATTAATAAAAACTTTTTGTTCCTTATTATTAGCATAAGATGTAATTAGAAATAAGTTAATTTGGGATGCTTTAATTTTAATAATAGTATACTCAAGTAAGACATTATTTTTTGAGGATGGAGTAAAGATGTATTCAAAAGGAATAGTTTTTCTTATTAGTATGGCCGTGCCTCCACCGTGAGCATTTATGTGCCTATCATTTCAAATGATGTGATAATCAGCAAATTGCAGCTTATATCTTTGATTAAGTTTAGTTTCGCAGAGTAGTGCTACATCTATGTCGTTATTTTTAACAAATTTTAAAAGGCCGTAGCGTTTTTCAAGAGAAACGAGAGAATTGACGTTTATCGAAGCTATTTTTAAAGGGTGTATAATATGAGGTATATTTACATTATCATGTTGTGCTGACGATAGTTGATTAATCGTAGCCATTTTCGTAATCGTGATCATAAAAAAGAACATCAATTCTCTTGCTATTTTCAACTGTGGTGGCGCAGACCTGCGAAAGTCTGGCATTGATGTTATTGAGTTGTGAGTTGAAATGCGACATTTGATTTCTGAGGTCAGAGATCAGTGCCGAGAAATCATTATTAGTTCATAGGTCTGTTTCACCATACGCTGTGGTAGGTACGAAGTTGCGAGCGGGCTGACGTAGGACAGCAGCATATTGTTGAGAGTGATTATTGGGCGGCGCAATAGCGATACCGAGGTTGCTCTTATCGCGGGACTGGGTAGTAGCATTATTTTTGTTAGTAAGCGATTGCTCGATTCGGGCTAGTTTTTGATTACGTAGGGCAGCTAGATTAAGTCTAGCAGAAATTTTAGCATGTTTCATAAATACTAGATAAGGGCAGCCTCGGTACGACGCGGGATGTCCAATTTTATCACAATTACAGCAGTATAATTGTTCACGAGGAGTATTTTTGTCGAGCGGACACTCTCTCGGTTTATAACTAGTTTTACATTTAACACATCTATATCCGAGCGAACAACCCGAGCTGCTATGGTCGACGCGCTGGCAGTTGGTACATTGGAATTGATTTCTTTTTTTGAGATACTCTATTTTAACTTTTTGGTAGCAAAGAGATTCGACTCCGAAAATATGTTTAGTGTTGCTTTTATTGCTAAGTTGAACTAGAAAGTAAGGAGTATTAGGATTATTTTTATTTAGATGAGCTATGGTAATTTTAAGTATTTTAGTCTCGGGAAGAGTTAGGCTCTTTAATTCATTTTCAACATCGGTAGTCGACCAAATGCCATTAATGCCTTTGACGACTACATTCTTTGGTTTAAGACTTTTGGGTGTGTATGTAAAAAATTTGATATTCGCTGTTTTCAAGACGTTAATAATAGTACTATAGGAAGTTAAGCTTTTAGCAAAAATAGTTTGACAATTGGAGAGTTTTTCTTTCACCGAGAAATTTTCTTTGGTTAACTTATCCTTCAAGATGTTGATGACTTCGTTCAGTGTAGGGCCTTGTACGTGGATCGGCGGCGGTCTCTCGGGTTTGATGGATGATGGAGCAGTCGCTTCAGTCGGCTGCTGCATTGCGGCGGTATTATCTTGCGAGTTATTATGATCTAACAGAGCTCGAGACGGCTTGCTGGTAGGTTTATCTGAGCGATGGTTTTTCTTCAGCCGGGTGGGCTGGGAGGACGGTATGGCCTGCTGGTGCTGCATCGCGACCGGTCCTTGACTAAGAAAAGTCGGTTGGGGTAGAGCAAAATTAAAAGGGTTGCTGCCCTGAGATAATTTTTCTGTTTGGAGAGATTCAAATCTATTTGTCGAAGTAATCATCGTTGTATTGGGGCCCTGTGTGCGCTGTGTTTTGACAGGCCTTCTCGGCTGTTGCCATTCACTATCAGACGGACTATGTTGTGAGGCAGCGATATCTTGGGAGTCGTACAACGGCGAGTTCGAGGAAGCACGTTTTTTTCTGGCAGCTGCAAGGTTAGGTGCCACTGAGCACTGAGAGCGCATGTCAAGTTCTTTTTTCGCTTTATGCCAATCTCTTTCCAGCTTGAAAATATTGGTAATTTTATTACTAGTCGGCGGATAAATTCTTGTATTGACATCTGTTGACATTATTGCTGTGGTGGTCGTAGTGTACGTCGTTGTGGTGGAGCTAACGGACGTTTTCGAGGTTATTGTGCTATTGGTAGATAAAGCATTGAGTTTTTCAGTATCATTGTTTATGACGTTATCAGAATCAGTAGCATTTAGAGCAGCACAAGTACCGTCAATTTGCATATCTAAGTTATTAACAGCCATTGTCTTTGACTTAATGTAATTTTTCAAAATATATGGCGAGGCGCGCGCCAGGCGGCGGCGCACAGAGCGGAAAACTAACCTCTCTGAGAGGCGTTGAGTTTTAATCTTAATATTTTTCTTGTGGAAAAGATTGTGGAAGCTGCATTCACACAAAAGACACTCAGAGTAGGCATGAATATGAGAACTATGAGAGATAGATTGTGTATTATCACTATGCGGGGACTCCCGGTCTCACGAGCAAAGAGCAGCCGGCACACGTCCGTCTCACGAGCCGGCCAGCGCCAATCCGACAGGAAGAACTGGCGGTCCGCACGTGGTCGTTCTGCCGGCACCTGCGGCACATCGCTATTAGAAGTGGGGGCGCGCTCGAGAATCTGTCAACGACGAAGTCAATGCACTGACGTGACGGCGGGCGACCACCAATGGCGATAGCATCGCACACCGACGACGGGTGTGAAGCCAAACGGCGGCCTCAAACGATCGCTGGAATGCACGAGAGCCGAGTTTCATTGCAAATGGCGGGCATCGCGGCGGGCGGCCGTCGCTGATGACGGCATCATTACGATCAGCGAACGTCAGAGCACGCGGCTGCTGAAGACGATTACTCGGATGCTCAGCAAGTCGCTTCGCACCAGGGCCTGTTTGGAGATAAGCGAGTCAGTGGAGCAAAGCGAGCCATCCTGAAGATGATCAACATCTCCGTGGATGGCAGAGTGCAGACCGGAGAACCCCCCTCCCCGCAACTATTTATTACACTCCAGCCGACACGACGATGAGGTCTTATGGATCTCTTTTCTCATAGGCCGCTTCCGGTCCGATGGAGCGGCGCTGAAATCAGCAAGGCTGCTCGCTTTCACTGGCTCGCTGAACCTGTTGAGGAGTTTGTTGACATTCAACGGGAGTTGAAAAGGGCCATCCAGAGAATTGCTGAAAGGGTCGCAAGCACGCCTACGACGAATTAGACGCTCGGGTCCATCAACTCAAGGCTTGAGCTACTGGAAGGATACTGGCGAGACCTTCATCACAATCATGGCCAGCTCCTCACCCTTGGCGATGAGTCGGCCGTTGATTATCGGTCGAGCGACACCTTCGTACTGGCGGAGGAGCTTTACGTGGAGAGCCGCGGCATGTTGCTGGATCATCGAGTCCGCTGTGCGGTTTCAGAGGACCGTGCGTCAACCTCCAACGTATCTTTAACTGCGGCAGACCACGGCACTGACTTTCCCCTCTCGAAGTTACCTCGCTTGGAGCTGCCTACTTTCAGCGGAAAGCCTGAGGACTGGGAGGCCTTTCGGGATCTTTTCGTGGACCTTGTTCATGACAACGCTACGCTAGGGGATGCGACGAAGATCAACTACCTCAAAACGAACGTCAAGGGGCCAGCGGAGGAGGCGCTGCGAAGCTTCCGCTCCATCGCGAGCAATTATAAACAGGCGTGGGATGCACTCTGCAGACGTTACGACCAGTCGAAGCTACGAGTAAGAGACCACCTTGCCGCTCTTGTGAATCTGAGGCCTCTCATGAAGGAAACACCAGAAGGCCTACAGTCGCTCATGGATGAGCTGAACAGGTGCCGCACCCAACTCGAACGACTGAACCAACCCATCCAAACGTGGGACGCCTGGTTTGTTTTCATGGGTATGCGTGCCCTGGATTCGGTCATAAAGAGAGCTTGGGAGGAAGAGCCTGAGCCCAGCATGTCATCCGATGCTTCATCGATGACCAGCGAAGCTTCCTTCAGCCAATTCACCGAGTTTTTGCAGCGGCGATACTGCACGTTACGCGCTCTCGGTCAGGTGGCTAATCCTCCTCCAACGACTACTTAAGCGGTCGACGGAAGACTGCCCAGCTCACCGCCCTGAAGACAATCCGAGCCCATGCCACTGAGACGGTTCGCGCAAGGGGGGGCTGCTCAGCTTGCAAGGAGGCCCACTACGTCGGACACTGCCTAACCTTCCGAGGGCTCAGGAGTGATTTCGGGTATAGAGATTATAGCCAAATATGAAATAACAATAATTTTAATTACAACAACGAAAGAAACAAAGTAATTAAATTTATCCGCGAACAAAATAATCGAATCTACTAAAATAAATGAAATACAAAATAAAAGAAATGAAATACAAAATAATAGAAATGAAATACAAAATAATAAGAGAACAAAATAATACCGCCGTTACAATCAAATGCAAATATAAGCACGCAGTGGATCGGCTGCAGGGCTGCTCACCGAACCGCTGTTTACTCGATCAAGGAGAGAATATGTAAAGAAGAACACATCAGCATACAAACTAAGAAAAAAAAACAAATCGCTTGAGCGAATTCAATGCGTAACCTCGCAGCCGGCAGAGCTGCCGAGCCGCGTAATGTTTACTCGACGCCTCGGGCAGAGAGAGAGAGAGAGAGAGAAAGAGAGAAAACACCGCACCGACCTTGCCTCCATCCGCCCTTGTCTTCGTTGAGGAGAAAATTCTGTAGCAAATAAAAAGATTCCTTTACAATCGCTCTCGTACTCTTGAATCTCGGTTGATTGGGACTCGGCGATGTTGTTGTTCTTGATGTTGTTAGCGCTGTTAGTATTACTTTTGTTACTATGGTTGTTTGTGTCGTTACTATTATTACTTTGTTGTGTGACTACAGTGACTGGTACTGGTGTTGTATTCGTTGTTATGGTTATTACTGTTACTGTAGTATTGTAGTTGTAGCCTCTGAGTATGTCTGTATGTATGAGTTGGAGATCATCAAACGTGTGTGTGTGTGTGTGTGTTGATCGCACTGAATCTCGTCCCCCGAGATGAATTGGCGAGAACATCGCTCTCACCGTGGCACACAAAAATGACCGCACGCGCGCACACGCCCGCGTCATCTTGCCGGTCGCCCACGTGCATCGGTGCCGGCCTCGCTGCACTCGCTAAAAACACAGACAAAAAGAAACTGTCACTCCGCGCACCGGGCACGTATCCTGGAAAAATCTTCGGCGAGGGCGCGGGAACTCAGAACACACAAAATGCAGGCGAAAAAAACGATGAAAAGGTGTGCGCGCGGTGGTCTGTTCGGCTACCAAACAGCTACTGCCGATTTCTCCTTTCTTGGCCAGCGAGATGCGCGCGCAGATCTGCCGACGATACACTAGCTCTCCCCTATCTTCCGTCTCTCTATCTCTCACTGCGCTCTTCTCGTCGGCTCCCTCCAATCACCGTCACTGCCGTCGCACCTCGAGAAAGGGAGCAAGAAAGACAGAACGATTAGAGTGTGCTCAACTAGCCCACACTCTTAGCTCGGCAAGGCGCACGGGGATCAGTGAGAGCCTGACGGAGAGCAACGGCCGAGCCGTGATTCTCCGTCACAATCTTATCAATGTAATTGCTGTAAGGAGGAATGACTTAGATAACGTTTATTCACGTGAAATCTATCTGTAACAGCACAATCATCATAAAAACTTCTTTGTTTTGATCACTTTTAAAATGAAAATTAAGTTCAAAAACATTTTTACATATACATGTGGTCTAATCGGTTTAGATGACCAACATTTAGCTAAATATTTTTAGATCCAGCATGATATGGATGGACAGTGTAAAAAGTTTATATATTTTCTCTAGACTCAAATGAAAATCTGGCAAATAACTTTGTATACAAATCATTCTGTTTTTGTACGAAAGACGCACTTATTTTTACTTCTTTTTCATCCAGAATATAAATAAATTGACAGGAATGTAATAGTAGATTTTTTTGGTAGTATGTAATCAGATGACGATAATTGATTGTGTATATTATTTTATATACTTTTGAAACTCGTCATCAGCTCATTTATATATACGAGGTGTGATCAAAAAGTAAGGTGAATTTTTATTTTTCTCAAAAAATATTTATTTATTCATCAATTTTTATTTTATCTCCTTCAAAGTAATACCCCTCGGATATAATGCACTTGTGCAAACGCTTTTTCCAATCCTCAAAGCATTTCAAAAAATCATTTTTTGTGATCTTGTTTAGTTCATCCTTCGATGCCGTCTTTATCTCCTCAATCGTGGCAAAACGCCGTCCTTTCATGGGCCTCTTCAGTTTTGGGAACAAGAAGAAGTCACAGGGGGCCAGATCTGGGGAATACGGTGCCTGTAGCATCGTTACTGTGTTGGTTTTAGCCAAAAATTCGCGCACAAGCAACGATGTGTGAGCAGGGGCGTTATCATGGTGCAAAAGCCAATTTTTATTTTTCCACAAATTCGGACGTTTCTGGCGGATTACTTCGCGCAAATTGCGCATAACTTGCAGGTAATATTCCTTATTTACTGTTCTACCCTGTGGCAAGAACTCATGATGCACCACGCCCCTGCAGTCAAAGAAAACTGTAAGCAAAACCTTTACATTTGATCGAACTTGGCGTGCTTTTTTTGGTCTTGGTGATCCAGAATGCCTCCACTGGGACGATTGAGTCTTAGTCTCGACGTCATAACCGTATACCCATGTTTCGTCACCTGTTAATACCCTGTTGAGTAAATCTGGATCATCGTTGACGTCATTCAGTAGCTCTTTGGCGATGCTCATGCGACGTTTCTTTTGGTTGAAATTGAGCTATTTCGGAACAAACTTCGCTGACACACGTCTCATGTCTAAAACACTCGTCAAAATTGATTGGCACGAACCAAATGAGATGCCAATATCATCAGCAATTTCTCTAATGGTAATTCGACGATTTCCCAACACTATTTTCTTCACTTCTTCAACATTCTCATCAGTTGTTGATGTGCTGGGGCGTCCAGAACGAGGTTCGTTGTCGGTGTCTTCTCGGCCTTCTTGGAAGAGCTTATACCACTTGTAAACATTTTTTTGGCTTAAAGTAGACTCACCGTATGCCACTTTCAGCATTTCAAGTGTTTTGGAACATTTGATTCCATTTTTCACACAAAATTTAATGCAAACTCTTTGATCCATGTTTTTAGACAGCAGCAAATCGTGGAGCACGCAAAACACTTCTAACATTGATGTCTCTCACAAACAAACCAAACATACTACAAAGCTGAAATTTGGAACGTATGTTCTAGACGAGTGTACCGACATAACCAAATAAAAAAGTCGAAGATCGAACGGACGTATCCCGCTAAATTTCAAAATTCACCTTACTTTTTGATCACACCTCGTATGCATAGACCTCAAAATTTTTCTATGATATTTAATCCCTTTCTTGATTTTGTATAACTTGAGTCAAATTTGAATCCACATATGAAATTTCTAACTGTGTGTATCTGTAAATAAATAATTTCCACAAAAAAAATATCTTTAACAAAATATAAAAGGTTATTGAAAAATACTTATCTAATTATTTTTATCGTTGCTGCTTTTAGCATTAATATTTTTTTTTACGTACTCTCTCGTATAACATTTAAAAAAATAAAAATCAAGATGTATAGTAGCGTTTTCAATATGTTTTTTAAGGTTGGACAGACTTAATTCAATTATCTACTTCACTTTTTGTGGAGATGTTTCCATGTATTACCTTCAAACTCATTACTAATTTAACAATGATATATATTTATAGTATATATTTTTCATCCAAATAACACTAAAACGTAGCGTGTTAAGAATCTCTTCAGTTAGCGTTTGAACCTTGAGGTGAGTAGACGTGTTAAAACTGCGCTCTACCGGAAAAGTCATAGTTATAGCAATAGCATATCAAGTGAAGTGACAGTTAAAGGTGAAACACGTTTAAACAGAACCATGAAACAAGACGGCCAAAATAGCCACAAAAGCAAGTGATGATTCGTCATCCAACAATAAAGATAAACTTGGAGAATGGAAAATCGCTTCTAATAAAAAAAGTCCAAGCAGTCGAAGCAGTCCAGGCAATTAAACACAAATTATTTAAACTATTAAACAAGCAAAATTAGACTACTCGTTAAGTAATGCAAGGAATAGATTCGAAATAATACAAGATGATAAAGAAAATAATCATAGTGAAGATGAAAAATCAGGAAGTAACGAAGCAAACGAAACGATTGTTATGTCTAGGCGAGGAGATGTTACGGCTAGACGTAATAATGTTTAAAGTACTGTCGCGTTGGTAAAAGTTGGATCTTAGTCAGGAGTTAAGCAGAGGTTAGTTAAAGGGATAGCGCCTTTATTATATGTAGCGTGTTTAGGTAGATCACTTAGTTTCTTACCTTGTTAGGATTGGATTTCAGAAGAGGTTTTTACAAACAGTCTCAGGTGTTTGCGCTTGATTTAAGATTTATTGTTTAAAGGCAAGTTTATAATGCTTAGCAGAGTATAATTCCGCTTCTGAGTAACCGGATAGCGAGACTTAGAAATAACTAAATCAGTATAAGTACGAGTACTAGAGTATGAGCGCTAATATAAGCGCTAATGTAAACTGTAATATGAACTGCGCGAACTGTGTATCGTGTGAACTGAACTGCTTTGCGCGGATTCCGATCCAATCTTTTTATACCATAGGCTGATGTACCCCTTCCTGTGTTTTCGCCGAATTAATATGCGGTCAGTAATATTCGCGGAAATATTATGGAGAAAGTGCTTAGACTAATCTATTCCGCTAGATAGATTTACAAATTTTCTCGGGAGGGTTGATACGATAGGTAATTAAATTACCGATACCCGGTTAGTTTATTAGTCAATGTCATTTTTTGAATAGGAACCCATATTTTTGATCCCGGATTCGGAAAGAGCGGAAAATTCTACGTTTAGATAACGTATTATGTGTGGGGTGCGGTTACCCCCCCCCCCCCCGCCTAAGATCATGTAGAGGTCAAATTTATGATTTTCTTCATCTATGCACAGGGATGATCGGGCAAGGGTAAGGTTAATTGTAATAACC